AGCCCACAATCACGTCTAGCAACTTCTCATCCATTCAGTCGTCTCACAGCATTTATTGATCATCAAGGAGTTGCTCGTGTGGGAGGACGACTCAAGAATTCCACCCTCAATTATGAAGGCAAACACCCTGCAATACTCCCTCGCCATTCGAGATTGTCTGAATTAATCATCAGCTGGTCCCACCAACGGACACTACATGGAGGAACGCAACTCACCTTGGCGCATATCAGGCAATCATATTGGATCATCGGTGGACGTGCTTCAGTAAAATCTCATATCTTGCGGTGTGTGGTGTGTGCTCGACAAAGGGGGATTCGTGCCCATCAATTGATGGGCCAACTACCTCTGCCTCGGGTCACACCCTCACGTGCATTCACGCATACGGGCATCGATTACGCTGGACCACTCACACTCAAAACATGGAAGGGAAGAGGAGCCAAAACTCATAAAGGGTGGATTTGTGTATTTGTCTGTCTCACCACATCTGCAGTTCATTTAGAAGTTGTTTCAGACTACTCAACGGATGGATTCATCTCAACGTACAGAAGATTTGTCTCAAGAAGAGGCATCCCTCATTCATTGTACTCTGACTGTGGCACAAACTTTGTCGGAGCAGAGAAATCACTCCAGGCATTGTTCACAGAGAGTTCTCAAGATAACCGGCGCATCTCATCTCTGCTTGCTCAAGATCGCACTCAATGGATTTTTAATCCACCAGCTGCTCCGCACATGGGTGGCAAATGGGAAGCAGTGGTAAAATCACTCAAACACCACTTGCGTCGTACCATAGGAGAGACGTTGCTCACATTCGAAGAAACGACAACCCTGCTTGCTCAGATTGAAGCGATCTTGAACTCACGACCTCTCGAACCACTCAGCGACGACTCAGATGACATCTCAGCGCTCACCCCAGGACACTTTCTCATCGGAAGTGCTCTCACATCAGTACCTGAGCCGTCACTGAAGGACTTAGCCACCTCAAGGTTATCCCGATGGCAATTCATACAACAGCGAGTACAGCAATTTTGGTCTCAATGGTCAGCTCAATATCTGCAACGACAACAAGCAATCTCGAAGTGGCATCACCCATCCAACGAAATACAAGTGGGCTCATTGGTTCTCATCACCGACGAGAGGCTCCCGCCATGTAAGTGGCCATTAGCCAGAGCCTCCTCCCTGATGCCAGCCAAGGATGGACTCACCCGCGTGGTGACCCTGAAGACACCCACAACGACACTCACCAGACCAATCACCAAGCTGGCACCGCTGCCCATTGCTCATCAAGGCCAAGCTCAACCTCCGTAGGAGTGGACTCATCATCAACCTCATTGCTGATGGCGGGCGGAAATGTTTGAGATTCCTCCAGTTATCTCAATTGTACTGCCCTCGCCATCTCACGGTTATTCGCGAGGCCCAGTGGTACCGCGCGCGCGACCGCGCGACCGGGTAACGAGCACGTGTCGGGCCCGTGAACATGGCTCGAGGGCTTGCGCGCAAGCTCAGAGAGTTCAGTTGTCGTGTGAAAGCAGCCGTTGTAAGCGGTGGTAAAGTTCGCATCGACATACGAAAAGTATCGCGCTCGCGCTCACGGGAATAAGTGCGATCTCAGTGCTTGTTCGCTCACATTGACACTTAGTGCTCACCCCTGGACAGACTCATTAGTTAAGTGCTCAAGTCGAGTGCATCGGTGTTCTGCACAAAGGCCTCTCATTTTGTACGTGCACGCTCGCTTGTAGCCGGCCACCGGCTCAACGGGCGGCACATCCCCGACGGTCTTGTGCGAACAAGAGAGCTCGACGGACTCGCTCACCTCAATCATACGCCTTTTTTTTTCGTGTGGAAATCCTTTATGGATACCCGGGCCCCCCTCTGGGAAGGGAGTTTACGAATGGCCCGGGTTATGTGGGACTGCCCGCCTAATGACGATCGGCTGCTGCCGCTGAAAATTGCGGGCTTACCTCACTAAAACCACACGGTGATCTGCGCGGTGCTATAACTTGGGGGACGCCTAGGACTTGGCAGAGCCCCCCTGCGGGGAGGAGTCCCCCCTCCCCCACACCAATGAGGGAGGGAGCGCACCGGCCCGCCGTTTGACTGGCGGGCCTTCGCGCGCCCTCCCCCGGTGACATGGGGGA